TCATAGCCACATCGGCAGCATGCATCCCAACCCGCCGCCAGAGGCAGCGCAGGTCACCCCGCTTCGGTCACGGCGAACATCTCTGCGCGCAAGAAATAAAAGTGCGTACCAACGACGCACACGAGATTCAAAGTGTTTTTGAACGATTTCTCAAACCATGTGCTCAACCTTTCTGTCAGCTTTGCGCCGCCGCCTGCAGGACCTTCGATGCCACGAGGCGCTCCTGGTCAAGTCAACCACGCCCGGCGCCTTTGATCCCGTACTCTCCCTCCGCTTTACTCATCCAGGTTTGAAGTCAAGCAACCGCTGATGCTCATCCTCTCAAAAATGACATGCATTCATGCCGTTCCCAACCTTTTGCGTGTCCCTTCCATCAAGCTGCGACGCAGGACCTGCTGCCATTTCTGGCCCCGACTAGCGGCAGCACGCTGGCCCTCGTGCTTCGGCTTGGCACTCGTCTACTTCTACTCGTTTCCCCCCCAAGCATGCCCGATAGATGTGCCACTAAATCAAGACCCCAATATCTGGACCAACATCGCGCTCTGAATTTTGCCGACCTGGCTCGCACGTTTCGGCGCGTTGCACACCTGAGTGCTTGCTTGCTAGCTCCAGATCTCGCGCATGGGGTGCAGGCCCTCCTCACCGACACCAATACTTGGACTTGCACCTGTCCTGACACTCGCGTCAACACCGCTGATGGTCAATCGGATGCGATCATGCACCCTCATGTCTGGCCCACCTCAAGCCACGTGTCCGAGCCCTGCCGGCTCGAGGCCACTGCCGAGCCGCAAAATTCGCCCGAGTTTGATTTGCAGGACGGCCCCCGGCGTGCGCTGGCAGCTTTGCTGCGTGAGAGTCTTGCTCAGCCCCACCACTCAAGCGACGCCATTGCCGATTGCAGGAGAGGCTCACATAAAGCACAGCACCCAAGGTCGCCGTTCAACGTGACGTTGCAACGTGATCCCCCCTCTGGCTCGCTGGTCACAGATGCCGCGCGGCCGTCACAGCAGCCTCAGCCAACACGAGGTGGTCGTTGCGTGC